CCCTTTGGAGCCCCCTTCTCACAATAGCCTGCTCCCGCTTCCCTTGCTCTGTTTTGCCCACAAGCCATCATGTCACATTGCCATGGACTCCTTCTCATGTATCCTGCTGTGGCAGGGCAGATGAAGCTGACCTTGACTGTGGGACTCACCCCCATGGACTCCGGGGTACTTCTTCTCCCTTCCTTTTTGTCCTTTTAGGGGGAGAGGGGGGTTTTTCCATTAAGTTTGATGTCCTAAAGAGGAATGAATGTTCACCAATTTCTAAACTTGCCAGGCCTCTGCTGGGTCCTGAATATCTTTAACTACTGCCTCTTACAAATACTTAGAAGGCCAAGATTCTTATTCCAAATGAAAACACTGAGCTCAAGAATTGTTTCCATTTAGACACCCAGCAAAATTCACCTGAGATATCTATTTTTTTCTTCAAAGACATGGTATGAAAACTGCTTAATGAATGAGATTAATGTGTAAAGGGGAAAATTAATTGATTCTAAAAACAATACAAAGCTCATAAAAGTGGCATTGTTTGCTAGTGCATTTGAACACAATTTAAATAATCCTGGCAAGAACTTTTTTCTTTCTAGGAAATGGTATTTATAGAGATGTGATCTAATAGTACAAAAAGGAAAGGAGAAAGACTAATTTTTGCTACTAAAATAACACAGAGACCATGCACTGGGAAACTAAGCTTTTTGTGACTTTGGTGGCTCCTGGGTTTACCAGAACAAATGTAACAGTTTTCCATTTTAACTGGGCTGGCCTCAGAGTTCTGTCTGCTATCCTTCTACCTCGAGCCATTAAACCCAGGGAAGCTAATTTGGGCCGTATTGCCTGGGGAGAGAAGGGAGAGCTGCAGAACCTGGAGTTGTCTCCTGAGGTTTTTGTGGTTATGAAATTGCAAAATTTATGGTCTTTCTATTGCAGCAGCCTGTTGCATGGCCGACTGTTCTGAGAAACTGCTTATGGTGTAATCTTGGTACACCACCATGCTGGAACAGGCTGCCTGAGTTCAAATCCCACTCCACTTCTTTTTGCAGTGGGAAATGGCAAATGATATAACCTTCTTGTCCTGTTTCTTGTCTGTAAAATGGGGATAGAAACAACTCCTAATTCCTAGTGCTGTTCAGAGGGTGCAAAGATTTTAACACACACAAAGCACAAAAGTCATGCCTGACACATAGTTTGTGCTATTCATGTTTTGTTAAATAAGTAACTAAAAAAGCAAATGAATGTTGCTGTTCATTAAATGACTTCTAAGAAATTGCTCACTTACATTATGTTGCTAACTGGTGTGTACATACTTAAATGAATTGGTAAAAATTAATTTGTATGAATTAAAGAGCTTCTGCACAGCAAAAGAGACAATAACAAAAACAAAGAGAAACCCCACCAACTGGGAGAACATTTTTGCACCCAACACTAATGATAAAGGACTGATCACAAAAATCTGCAAAGAGCTGATGAGACTCAGCAACAACAAAGAAAATAATCCAGTCAAAAAATGGGCAGAAGAGCTAAAAAGAAACTTCTCTGAAGAGGAAATGCAAATGGCCAACAGACATATGAAAAAATGTTCAACATCACTTGTCATCAGGGAAATGCAAATCAAAACTACCATGAGATACCATCTCACACCAGTGAGAAATGGCACATATTAAAAAAACTAGCAACAACAAATGTTGGCGAGGGTGTGGAGAAAAAGGAACTCTCCTGCACTGTTGGTGGGAGTGCAAACTGGTCCAACCACTATGGAGAGCTGTGTGGAGATTTCTGGACCTACTAAACATAGAGCTTCCATATGATCCAGCAATTCCACTCCTAGGTATTTACCCAAAGGACACAGAAACATCAATTCCAAAGAGCACCTGCACTCCTATGTTTATAGCAGCACTGTTTACAATAGCTAAGCTTTGGAAACAACCCAAATGCCCAAAAATAGATGACTGGATCAAGAAGATGTGGTGCATATATACCATGGAATATTACTCAGCATTCAAAAAAGATAAACACATGCAATTTGCAGCAACATGGATGGCGCTGGAAGGGATCATGCTCAGCGAAATAAGCCAAAATGAAAGAAAAAATACCGGATGGTCTCACTCATAGCAGGAATCTAGAAAACTTAAATAAGGGACCAGGAAATGAATATAAGAAAGTGAAAATCAAAATCAACAAAAACTATGAACCAGAGACACTTTTTGGGGGTGGGGGGCGGGAGGGGAGGGATTGGGGTCAGAATGGGGCGTTTGCAATTGTATGGGGGAATATAAAAATAAAATTTATTATTTAAAAAAAAAATAATTTGTATGATCTGATTTGCTTAAAATGCAATCAGCCCAGCAACCCAGAAGGAGGTATCAACAAAGACCTACTTTGGTGGAAAATGGGTTTAAAATTGTCTCCCATTATTGATGTTGCCCCAAATGATTGTCAAGGAGGTCTGCTGCTGTTCAGAACACATACATGCTGTGGCCACAAGCAACAGAAGCAGAAAAAAGAGAAAAGTGACTTTTGCTTTAGACCTCCCAGAAGGAGACAGGATCATAAAAAACTCAAACTCAAATTGCCACTGAACCCCCAGCTCCAATAGGAGAAAGACCGGTGGACCTCTTGGCTCTTCCAAGGCCACCCTGCTCCCCACCGTCCCATCTCAGAGAAACAATGTTGCTTGTGATTGACTGTAAGCCTTGTTTCTCCTGGTAGGAACAAAGGGTAGATATTAGATATTAAATGTGTAGATATTAAATGCGTAGATATTAAATTTACTTGCAAGACTTTTTTAAAAAACTTTTCCCACCCAAACTTCTCATTTCCAGGGGGAGGCCAGGCAGTGCTTTGGGTTCCCCAATGGCATCTTGTCCGAGTCTGAGGGCCTCTGGACACAGCTGTGTCCATCTCGTCATCCTGGAAGGAATCTACATCTGGCAGCCACAGAGTTCTCTCTGGAAAAAGACTGAGCTTACCCAAGTAGTTGTTGCTCTTGTGCATCTCCGTGATGTTGATTTTTGTGGCTCCTTGGGGAATCTCAACAACTCGGTGGTAGCCCAGACTGGTGAGCGCGTGCTTAAACACGCCGGACACGACTTGACAGCCCGTGTTATCGCCTCCACACACCCCACATTTGTCCACGACTTTGTCGGAGCCTAGGTAGTCATCACAGCCAATATTCTGCAAAGAGGTGGAAAACAAAAGACTCTTGTAGCATATACCGGGAGCTGGAGGGAGGAGGGGGGAGAAAGGAGGAAAGATAGTCTATAGGTGACCGACCTCCTGCCCCCCCTCAGCTCCTGTGGATGAGGAAGTTCATTCTTCCTTCTGCCCAACAGAGATCCATGAGCACCTAAACAGGCAAGGACCTATTCCTCTAGGAATGCATGAAATGAGTGTTCTAGGGGCAGGGTGGGGCCACCACCAGACAGAGTGCATTTGGTGGTGGTCAATGATCAAGAGAAAAATAATGCACGGAAAAGAAGTAAGGAGGGTGGGGGCTGGAAAATTATTTACCCAGGCTGGACAGTGAGCTGTCCTGGCAAATCTATCCTGTTGGATCCTGAGAAGGGAGAGTGTGGGCTGTGCTGGGATTTTTATATAGAGAAGTTTTTTTGGCATCATGATAAGTACTGCACCTGAAATTGGGGTTTGTTCCCAAGTCTTCTGTTCTGAATGACAGATAAAATACTAAGCAAAGTACTCCCAAAAGGAGTGTGCTTGGGTCTGGTTTCTTAGGACATGAGATCAAATTGTTTGAGCTCCCGTGGCCCACTGCTGCCGAGTGGCAGGGCTTTTGCTTGACTCTCCTAAAGCATTTCTGGGGTGGAAGGGAGCTGGGAAGCAAGCAAGAGAAACATCAGCAATCTGGATGATACACATCCCAATAATGGGGTGCTCTTTGTACAGGCGATCTTGGCTGTGTTAAGGAACTCTGACTTTCCTGCATTTATTTCCCTTCGAAAAGAATCTTCCATTATTCGTCCCAGGATCTTGTTGCTTTATCTTCCCCCTCCATTTTCATGTTTCTCCTGGGGCAATTAAACCTTGGAACCGAATGGAAAGATCTTTCATGGAAACCTTTTCCACTTCTAAGGCTGATACTATAGGGCTCATCATCATGCTTTCCGAGTCCCAGATTGAAACATGTGGTCAGAGCAAAGAATTCTGTCACATTTCCAGAGGGCAGATAGAAGTGAGCAGATTCTAGTTAGAATAATAAAATACTGGAATGACAGGATTATTTCACTGGGTTCTGGGGATAAAAAATGTCACTTGAAATAAGAATGGTATCGTAAAGCTTGATACACACGTTTGCTGAATCCCAGGCCTGTGTTGTTCTTGCTGTATCCTAAGCACAGTCATCACACCACAAGTAAGGGGCAAAGTGGTGAGCAAACCATTTAAAGTGCACATTTGATTTTGTTAAAAAAAAACTCCTGCGTGTGTTTATGTGGCCCTACAGGTCAAATCTTACAGGCAGAGTCAAATAAAAAGGAGCTTTCCCCTCCAATTTCAGGCTTAACAGACATCTTCCTGCAGGCACTGTACATCTGCATTATTACTTCCATATTTCTGAGTGCACATTTGTTCATCAATATGAACTGGTCCTTCTTCACAAACAGCTTCTCTGTAAAACATTATTTCTGACAGTAACAGAACATCATCTCAGTGTATCCATCCATATCAAATTACCCTTTCAAAAGTGCCATGTTTTGCTATGGATTTTTCCTCCCTTAAATATTTCTTGCCCTGGCCCCATGCACATTTTAGCAGAAAAATAAGGAAAATGTTTTTGGTGCATGATTTCTATCATTCCCTCCTGCACCCTACTTAGGCTTGCTCTTGCTCTGGAACAAATAAACAAAAAAATGCTACTACCAACAGAAGTTTTGGAAAGTAGATTCCATGTTGCCAAAACAAGATTCTAACTGAATTGAGGAGATACCCCTGACTGACTCCAATGGAGAAGATGAACAGGGAAGCTGGTCAGCTCATTGTTACCCTGTTTTTTTGATAAGACTCTTATTTGCCATTGAATTAGAATTTTATCTGAATGCAGCCGCAACTACTGGGGTTCTAGAAAAATGGAAGGTCATGCTCAGAGCTGTTTTTCAGATAACTTTGGCTGTAGGGTACAGTGGGTCTTTGAGTGGGATGAATCGGCCGTCAGGCAAGGTCTCTCTTATAAAGGGCATTTTAAGAATGAACAAGAGGGGACCTCCCCTGCCCGCAGCCTCTGAAGTGCCAGTTCAATCCCCAGGCCACTGGCAAGGGTCCCACATGACGTGACAGACCTCTCCTGCCACGCCAGCTGCTCCCCTCAGCAGTGTACTTCGTCAGTCTGCCTGTTCTGTTCCCCTCTCTGGCTCTGGTGAATTCTCTCACCCTCCCGTGCTTCTGACTATACCCAGTGCTTGTATAAATAAATAAGTAAATCTTTAAAAAAAAAAAAAAAGAATGAACAAGAGGTGCTGAAGATGGGGACAGAATTGCCTGAACTCTCAGCTTCTAATGTAGTCAGAGTAGGCTGATCACAAAGAACTCGCACAGCCATAGTTGGCTTCAGACAACCTCAGACACAGACTAATGTCATTTCATCTCATGAATTGGACAATATATTGACATGCTCGGCACAGTTCGATGGGCCTCACCAGACTTCCTGTACAGCAAGGCCAGGCTGAATGAATCTGCACATGGGGGGAGGCTACAGTAATCCTGGTCTTCCTGGTAGATTCTAGTAGATTGGAAACTGACTTGAGAAAAGTGTGTGGCAACACAGGCAATGCCAAGAGCTAATGGTGACATCCTGTCTCCTCAAGGCCCATCCCTGGACCTTGAGCACAGGGTTCAGTCCTCATGAGAGAAGTCGGAACAAGGGGTGTGCAAGTCTTCCTTGAGGGGTAACAAAAAGAGAATGGATCGCTTTTCTAGTAGTCACCCAGGCTCCTGAAGACTGGGTTTCCATGGAGTTGCCCGGAGGACAGCCTCAGTGTGAGACCTGGGCTGATGAGATGCATGCAAAACCTTTAATTCTAGCTCTGAGACCACAGCCTAGTTTCATACCTGACAACTGTCCCTTCTCCTGTTCAGGGTGGTTGGAATCCCTGGGCTGAGTTGTGGGGATATGGAATGTTGGATCAGATGATATCACTAGGGAGGATTTTGTTTGGGTGCCAAGGCAGAGCACACCAAGGAAGTAAAACTTGGACTAAGATCTGAATGCTAAGAAGGACCAGCCATGGGCAGGATCTAAAGATGCAAATAAGTATTTTTCACTTGTGTTGTTGGGTGAGTGGGAAATCCCATGGGGATTCAGACATAGGTGCCACCTTGTGAGGATATGAGCCTAACAAGGATGATTAGATGCACATATAGATAATGGCAAGATTCTAGGAGGTGAAGTTCCCTGAGTTATGCTGGGCCAGACCTGCTCTCCTTAAGAATGTGGTAACAATGGGGTCCAGAGGTATTGCAGTATCCCAGCCTCAACTAGGGGAATGGTGATGGAGTAGAGGATTTGAGAGATGCTTAGTAAGGAACATGGGCAGTTCTTTGTGATTGGTTGGTTGGGAGAAGAGAGCTTGAATTCTGATCTTCCTCCCCATCCTCCTCAACATCATCCTATCTAATATTTACAGAGTCTACTATATTTCTGTTTTTTTTTTTTAAGCGTTCTTAGAAATGTCTTTATTGTAAGTGTTGTGAAGCACTTTACATGCATTGTAGAACTCGTTTAACATGAAAAGCTGCCTGTGATGTTGCTGAAAATTGTAGGAAAAAGACTTAGGAGAGAGGTTAGGTAACTTGCCCAAGGCTGCTAGTAAGAGGTGGAGCTGGGATTTGACCTGAGGTCAAAAATAAAAGCCCCAGCTTTTAAACACTGTGCAAAAATGGTCCCCTTCAAAGGATCAGCATCACGCTGAGGTTTCTAGTTTTGTTGGAGCAGTGGGTGGTGGTGGTGACCTAGGGGGAGAGGAACAAATTCAAGGCCCTCTTTCCACAGAGTCCTGGTGAGAGCTGGGCTCAGAAGTGACTCTGACATTCTTCTCTTCCCATATTAGGAAGCACCAACCACATTCTATTGTTCTAACACCACACTTTACACATGGCAAAAAATAAATATTTCTGCTCATCATCCTAAATCAACATTAATTTCTCATTGCTATAGCTTTTTATTTTGAAAGAATTTGAAACTCCCAAGAAGTTGAGAAAACAGTAGAGTCTCAGGGAAACTTCACTCAGCCTCCCTCAATGGTCACATCTCACATAAGCACAGCACATTATCAACTACGCATGCCATGGACAACTGTATGATGCATTAACTCAAGAATAAACTTAATTTGGACTTTGCCATTTTTATGCATTTTGCATGTATATAGTTCTATGATATATCATAAAATATGCAATGTATATAGTTCCATGACATTTATCACCTGTTCATACACAGGTATAGTGGCATGTTCAGTATGGGACTCTCTTCAAAGCAGCTGGCATCCTCCTCCAGAAGGGGGCCATGTAATTGGTAAATGGAGCTAATGTCATGGAGCAGAGCAAGCAGTCTGCCATGATGGAAGGAATGTTGGACTGGGAATCAGGAAACCTGGGGTATGATCCTGACATAATCCCTGACTTGCTGTGTGATGCTGGGTGGGTCACTTTTCTCTGGAATCAGCATTGAAAACATTTACCCCGCCATCTAGATTTTTCAGGAAGGAGTTTTCAGAAATGAATATGGCCTCAATTCTGGTTTGCATATCAGGAGACTGGTCAGTTGCTCTCTCAATGGGATGACTTAATAGTGCTGGCCCATATCTCCAGGCCAGACTGCCATCAGCTGGCACTGAGGTGGGCACGGTTGCTGCCAGACCTGGGTTTTGTGCTGGTTTGTTACTTAGACACGCTGGCTCTTTGAACATGTTCTAGTCATTCTGAACCTCAGTTTCTTTATCCTTGTAAGGATCAGATGAAGTAAACATGGAAGACACTTAGCAGAATGCTGCTGAGAAAATGCTGGGTTTTGTTATCATCATTTTCATATATTTGGTTCCACTTGGAATCTATTTACTCAGCTAAATCCCATCATCATGTAACCACCCTACCTGCCCCTATTTCTGTAACACTTACTGTTACTTTTGGTCACAAAAGTGACTAAAAGTGAAATCTCTTTTTCATTTGGA